TATAGGTATGAAAGGGGAAGACCAAAAGACATATTACATTAATTTAACACATAAAACTAAGCATCAAAAGCATGGGAATTCCCCCCCAAGCTTTCGGAAATCACCCAAACATAGGAACCGAAACAGCCAGCGCGGGAAACAAGCAGACCGAGCGGAACCGAGGAGCCACGGCCACAGGAGAAGAAGCCCAGGCACGGGAAAACCAGCGGCCAGCCGGAGTTCCAAGAGGCATACACGAAAAAACAAAAAGCCATGGAGGAAACCAAGGAATCACCTCATGGGAAAAGCAAATTCTTGGAATTCCAAAGGCCGGTTTGGAATTTCAAGAGACAAACATTAAAACAAACATAAAAAGCATAAAATTACATTAATTAAAAGATAATAAATGAACTAAAATATTAGCTCATAATGAGCTAACCCTTAGTTCAGTAAATGAACTAAAGTCCAGCTCATAAATGAACTAAAAGTTTAGCTCAAATATGATAAACTATTAGACTCAAGAGAAGCCAAAATTTGATTTATTTTGGACTTGTGTTGACCCCCCCTTTGTCTACATCATATGATAGCATCATAATAGAAAATATAGAATGTGTTGAGCATCTTCATAGTTAGGGGTTGGAGAATGTCTTCTATAAGAATTGGTGAGTTACAAATGACATAATATTTGTATTTTCTTTTAGTAATAAATGAAGAATGCATTTATCTTTCTTCTATAGTTTGCATTTCTTTTTCATAGTTTATAATGGCGTTATCTACACTCTCTACCAATCCATTTCCTACATGCCTAGGCTTGGCTTTCATCCATTATTCCACCATGGTCAAGATACGTTCATTTGCCACAACAACCATCCATTATCCCTTGTCATAAGCAACGGAAACAAGAGAAATAATATGGCCCTAGACTGAGCCTCATTAAGCAAACCCACGTCTGACATCAAGATATGCTTGGCATCTCCATGACATAGGAGATGAACTTAAAATCATTATTTCATCATCAACAAAAAAAAATTTACAATGCAAAGGCCCCTTATGTATAAACTAGAAAAAGAACAACCATAAAGGGAAAAAGGAATAAAAGTAACCCCTAAAATGGCCTCCATACCGTGCATGCATATCTGCATTACTGAACATGCATGAACAGCTAACATCAAATAATAAAATTTCTTGTTGATGCTGCATTGTTGTCTTTCTATTGCTACACTGTTGTATTCCTCCAGGGGTTTAGAACAAGGGGAGCAGATAAATAGGCATATTTATACCTCGTCTGCTACAAACTCTAAACCAGGCAGCAAATTTTACTGTTCTAAATTGCTAGCAAAATGTTTAGATAATGAAAGATATGATAAGGACCTTACGTTAGAATTGGGAAGAAAAAGGATATCCAGCATCATCGGAAAAAGTAAACCAGAATCAGTTTGTGAATGGAACTCACATCGCTAGCCATAATGAAGAAAAGAGCTGCTGCGCCAATAGTGCTCACAGAATCATCAAAGTTCAAGCCCAAAATTGCATTAATTATTTTATCAGCCATCCTGAAAGAAAATTAGGAAGTTGAGCATTCATTCATGTACAATTTATGTACAAGATAATATCCATATAACTATTAAAGAAGCTAGACACTCTGCTGCCCAAAAGCCAAAATGATCATTCATTTGTTTTAGACCTTATAAAATCTTAGTCAAATATCTAATACTAAACAAATGAATGGACCAGAAGTTTAAGTAAAAATAAGGAATTTTAACTATATCCGCTGTAATTTTTTTAAAGCAAATTTATATTTCATTGATAATTTAAAATTAAAAAAAAAAATTGTGAAGCACTTGAAGCTTCTCCAGTGGAACTCCAAGGTTGGAGACAGCAGATACCTACTGCTGGGAATGATTCGATGGCAGTCTTGCCAATGGTGGGCTTCAAGCAAGAAATAACAAAAAGGCTGCTGTAATTCAAGTTTGGAAGTAAATTGACTATAGTATTGTTGCATTCTTGTCTATTTCCAGCTTCTTTGCAGGTTCTTTTAAGTTGTAGAGCCACGGAGGCAAAGAACTAAGAAGAAAGCCCACCGTTCTCAAATCCAAAATTTTCTTAGGCCGCAGCAACAGAAAAATTCCAGCAGCAGAGAGTTTTCTTGTTGCTGCATTTGAGAGGCAAACTGATGTGGAATGTGCATGCAAGGATGATTTGGATTAAGGAATTTGCACGCTTAATTTTAAAAACCACAATAATTATATCTTTATATTGATTATAAGCAACAAAATAAAATGCAAGAGCAGTAAAATAAGCTTAGGCTAAATCACATGCATAGGAGTTAAGATCATAAAACAATCAATTTAATCTAACATTGCATACATGATTGATTTTCAACAATAAATCCCAATGTTAAAAATAAGATTAGTCACTACAAGAAGATCCTTCACCCAACTATTCCAATTACTAGATTTTAGCAGAGAAGCATTAACATGATCTTCATGAATATAATAAAACCACAATCAAGGATGCAACTATGAAGATAGAGAGTCGGGTGTCAAGTTTACCCAAAGATAAGAGAGATACGCACTCCGGCAAGGTCGTTTGAATGCTGGGAAAGAAGTGGACAGCAACCACACGCCTTCTCGCACCAAGGAACAGCTGGGAAGAGGTGCAGAACTTCAAGATAGTAGTTTCCTAGCGTTAGGAGGACTGGAACAGCAAAGGTCCTCGTTGGAAATTTCTGGGCAGCAAGGACCTTGGCTGGAATTTTCTAGATAGCAAAATCTGGACTGGAATTTCCTAGACAGTAGGAAAATTCTTCCAATGGAGGCTCTGGACAGCAGTGTGGGGGTTCAAACAACAGGCCAGCCCCTTTTCCTAGCCGAAATTCCCTTGATAGCAAGTAGGAGCTACAGGAAAAGAGAGGGAAATTGTGGAGGGAAATTGAGGGTGACGGCTAGGGTGGATGGGGTTAGGGTGGAGCTGAGTTGGAAACTTAGTGGAGTGTCTTATTTAGGCATGGGAGGGAGAGAGGGGACGGCATCTGTAGGGAGAGCTGGCTTGGTGGTTTAATTAAGGAAGGTTAATTTGAATTTGAACTCATACAATTGAGGGCGAGAGGGAAAGTGGGCCGGTCCTTGATGGGGATTTGATTGGGTGCTTTAAAAGGGGTTGCCAATATTGGATATTTAAATTAAGAAAGGAGATTTAGAAGATCTCCGTTTCAAAATTCAAATGAATTTGAATAGTGGGAACCTTCCTAAATTAACTCATCGCATTTAGGAAATCAATTTCAGATTTTAAAAAAGTTAAAATCTGATTTGGATGACTTTCCTTTCTTAATTTAGGAAAGTATTTGAAATTCGAAATTCGAAATTTGAATTTCAAATTACTTAAATCTTTTCCCAAATCACTTAGGCTATTTTAGATAGGTGTTAATGATGATTGATTTCATCATTAAGGGGAAATAGGGAGAGGGGTGGCCGGCGGTGGGGCTTGGGGTTAGCTAGACAGGCGGCTTGGGGGGTGTCGGTGGGACGGCCGACGGCTAGAAGGTGGATGGGTGAGGTGAGGGTTGGCCGACATCTTAGAGAAGGGGATTGGGAGAAGAGGTCGGCCAGTGGGGTGGTGGATTGGATTGGTCGGCGGTGGAGGGGAGGAGGATAAGGTGGCCGGTGACAAGAAAAAAAATGATGATGATAATAATAATAATAATAATAAAAAAAAATGATAAGCCGCGAGTCCCAGAATCCACCAGTGGCTGACGGGTGATGCGTGACCCTCTCCTAGGGTTTATCCTCTCAAGAACTCACAAAGAGATCAATAACAAGAAAGCTGAATTTTTATTAATAATCATCATTAACCCAAAATACAAGAGAACTAGCCTATAAATAAGCCTCATGAAAAGAAAAGAAACAATGACTAAAATACCCTTCGGGCTACAACACCACATAACCACCCCTAGGATAAAATGGGAAAAACAGAAATAAAAAATAAACTAGCATATAAAACACAAAAAAAAACTTCAAATCGTAGCCGATGATCTCTGATATCCTCATCAGAAACCTCTCTATTTGCCGAGCAAAAGGGAAGAACAGCAGCTGAAGCAATTCTCTCGGATGGGGGATTTATGGCAAGAATGACGAATTAAATGGAATTTCATCTGAAGGCATTTTTTAGGCAAAAATTTCTCACTGGGCTTTCCTTTATTTAATTATAGCTGTTTTATATAAGCACAAGTGATCTAATATTCTGTCTTTTGACAGGATCAGGTGGCTGCGGTAACAGTTTTCAATAGGTGTACAAAGTAGGAAACAAGAAGTCCAGGAAGCTAGGGCGAAGAACAAACAGCAACAATCTTCTAGACATTAAGCAATCCACAATGGATGCAAGAATTTCTTGGTTTGATTCCAGAACACAGGAAAGACTCTGATTAGCTACTAAACCTAGAGACAGGACTATGCAGGGCAATTTATTGGGGTTTTGGGAAAAAAATTAACTTATTGGGGTTTTGGAAGGATCTTGAGCTGCCTGTAGCTCCGCCCTACTGGAAGGTAGTCTTGGTTATTAAAGATTTGTTGTAAAGAGCACAGTTGAAGACGATTAACTACAGCTTCAGTAATTCTTTGACGGGAAGGTTCTCAACATTGTTTAGTTTTTGCACCACAAAAGGTATTTGAAAACTTCTATTCTTTGTCTTTCAGTGTCATGTAGTTTAATAAATTTCCTGGCTAGTATTGTAGAGTTTATTAGAAAGGTGTCTTGAATTATCTCGCTGTGTCAAGTGATGTTAATACCCTAAGGTAGGGTGCTTCCTAGGAGGAATTGTGATGGGGACATCAGATCAAAGTATATCAGAGACGTGGCTGAAGATCTACGGCCACGATCGCGCCGATCTATTTTTTGAGTCTTCATATGTATTTGTTTTATTTATTTACTTTATGTATTTGTTTTAGACTTTTAGTAGCATTTCCCGTTTTACCCTTAAGGGTTTTGTCATATGTAAATTGTAAGCCCTAGGGGTGATGTCGTCTTTTATTTCTCTTTCATTGTATGAGGCTACATATAGGCCTCTTATGTTTCTTTTGAAGTTAATGAATGAATTAAAATCAAATTCCTGCAAATTGAGTTCTTGTGAGATCTTGAGAGTCGTTGGAGAGAAAACCCTAGGAGAGAGAAGCGGATCGCCTACCAATCTTAGAAGAGTCCGGGTTCGTGGCTCTCTTTTATTCCCTATCCTTTGTTTCCTCTCTCCCCTTTACCCTAGCCGTTGGCCTAGGGTTTCCCAACTCCAAAACCGCCAGCCTCCACTCCAAAACCAAGCTCCACCGCCAGCCAATACCCTTCCCCCACCCCACCTAGACGTCGGCCATCCAAGGTGGCTCATCCCTTGATTGGTTGATCCACTTAATTCCCCCCACCTCCACCTAACCCTAACCCTAGCCCTAGTTCAAGCTGTCGGCCCTTCCCCCTTTCCAATTCCCCTTTGCCTCCACTTCACACCCTCTTCATTACTTTCCTTTTACACCAAACCTTCTTTGAAAAGCCTTAATTTAAATTATTCAATCAAGTTTGAATTTTGAAATATTTCCTAAATTAGAATTCTATTTTAGAAAAGTTTCCAAAATCAATCCTATTTGAATTTTAAATTAGATTAGAATGAGATCCATCCTTCCTAATTTAATATGCCAAATCAAGTAGGCTTGATTTCTTTCCCTAGACTCCCCTCTCTCTCTCTCTATGACGCCGACCCCTCCATGTCCCCACCCCTTAAATACTTTCCAAAGTTAAGCCTCTAACTTGGGAAAGATTTCAGACCTCTCCCTCTCTCTTACCTGCCCCCTCCCTCTCTCCAATTTCCCTTTAAATCCTTTCCAAACTTAAATCAATTTCACAATTTCTCTCCATCCTCCCTAATTAAAATCTGAACCAAAATCTCCCCAAGCTTCCTACTTTGGTCGGCCACCCTTTCACCCCTTCCCCTACTTGGATTCCTTGGATCTTTCTCTCAAGGGGAATCCACAAGGACAGCAAAGGGATGTCTTCTACAACACTTCAACACTACAAAATCAATACATGGCCGATCCTGAACTCGACTCCGGCTTCGTCTACAACGAACAAGGCTTAGTTGACATACTCGGATCATCTTTCTTCGACGTTAATCCAAAAGTAGATAATTTCGTCGAGGAATACTTGGAGCGAATCATATTCACCCTTTCGGAAGCCATCGAAGAACAATTTTCCACCGTTCAATGGCAAATCACCGCCGTGCCTCGACAAGGGTGAACTTTTTCCCCCTCTTTAATTTCCTTCCTAATCTTCTTTGCTTGTAGGTGGTGAATCAAGCATAAGGCATCGTGCAACGCTATCTGCCAAAATTTAGTAAACGTAGGGAATGAGTTATGACTTTCTATGCATCTACTCTCATACCATGGATGTTATTGAAAATCCCCTAAATTTGCTTATGTTGAAGTTATAATTTGATGAGGAAATCGAAAGACCAACAGCTACAATCTGGAGTTTATTTTATTTTTGATGTGTCTTATGTACTAGTTTATTTTATATTCTTGTTTTTTCTCATTTTACCCCTAGAGGTGATCATGTGATGTTGTAGCCCGAAGGGCATTTTAGTCTTTATTTCTTTTCTTGTCATGAGGCCTATTTATAAGCGAGCTCTCTTGTAATTTGGGATGATGATTGATTAATGAAAATTTTTCTGTGTTTCTTCTTCTTCTTGTGTGAGCACTAGAGAGAAGGGAGAGAGAGCTCAAGGTGAGCAGGCGTAATACCCACCCACGGCTCGTGGTTAGTTTATTTTTATTTTATTTGTGTTTTTCTCTTCTTCCTTCCCCCACTCCACCCGCCGGCCCCTTCTTGCCCCTCCACCACCGGTTGCTTAACCCCCTTCACCCAATTACTCCCTAGTTCCACAACTTCAAGCCCACCCGCCACCCAATCTGATGCCTAGCCACCCCGTCCCCATTGCCGCCGCCCCTCACATGGCTCCCCACTGTGATGATGACCTCAAACATCATCATAGCTCCCTAGGTTGAATCAAACAAGATAGGAAGGTTCTCAATTATTTGAAATTCAAATTTGAATTTCAAAAACTTTCCTAATTTGCAAAACTCCAAATAAGGAAAGTCTTAAATTTCAATCCGATCTAATTTTAAATTAGAGATGGTCATTTATTCTCTTTCCTGTTTGGCAAACCTTGTTTGGAAACTTCTTAAAATCCTCCCCATACCCCTCCTCTCTTGATATCGCCGACCTCCACTCTTGCCCTATTCCATTATGCTGACTCCAATCATCATAATTCCCCTCATAAATTAACTCCAAGAGGAAAGGAAAGAAATTAATTTTAATTTCAAATACTTTCCTTATTTGCAAATCCTTATTAGGAAAGTGCATAAAATCAATCATATTTAAAATTCAAATTAGATTGGATTTCTTAATATCTTTCCTAATTCTCATGAGTTATTTTAGAAACCCTTAAATTCCTCCCCACCATCCTCCTCCCCCACTTAATGCCGCCGGCCAACCTTTATTGGGCATTTGGGCTTCCTCCTTGTGTTTTCCTCTTTGGGTCTTACCCTCTTTGAATTTGAAATCAAAATTTCAAATTTAATTCCCTCCAAATCCACTTAAATCTGAATTAATTTCATATTTACTAAAACTTCATCTCCCCTCCTCTAACCTAGCCTAATTCCCCTCAACCAAGCCACCCACCTATCTCTTCCCTTCCTCCACGGAACACCCATTTATCAAAAAGGTTCAGTTTTCCCTTACTGTCCCAGAATTCCAACAAAGGGAAATCAGGATTCCTGCCGCCTAAAACCTCCAAACTGCGGGGTGCTCTTTTACAACTTGTTGTCCAACTATTTAGGCCCAAACCCTTGCTGTCCTGAGGAGTTTCCAAGGTCAAAAGCTATTGTCCAAGGGAACTAGGCTCTGATTTCTGCAGGTTTCCCAGCACCGTATCTTTCATCCATAAGACTCCAACTGATGTCCACCTCTTCCCCAGCATTCAAACGACCTTGTCGGAGTGCGTATCTCTCTTGTCTTTGGGTAAACTCGACACCCGACTCTCTATTTTCATAGTTGCATCCATGGTTTAAAATTGCATAAAAAAGGCGCGCCTCAGCGCAATTTCGCCCCTTTAAGCCTCAAAGCCCACGCAATAAGTTCAGGGTATGAGGCGTACGCCTCAAGTTTACTGAGCCGTGCCTCGCTTCATGGTTGAAAGGCATCCGTCTCTAAAAAGTAAAAAAAAATAAAAATAAAAAATTTAATGTACATGCTCGATACTGCTCAGTACATGCTTGGTACCGCTAAGTATCGCTAGGTACATGCTTGGTACCGAGTAGGTACATGCTTGGTACCGCTCAGTATATGCTCGATACCGCTAGGTACATGCTCAATACCGCTCGGTAGCTTTCCATAAAATAACTTACGAAATTTAAAAACAAGCATAACTTCAAAATAACCCCCGAAAACCCATGCAGGGGCGCTGCCCCTTGACCCCACGACCTGACCGGTCAGGTCGAACCCCGCCAGGGGGCAGCGCCCCCTTGGACCCCCGGCAGACCGGTATATTGTTGTATTCATGTTGTCTTATTATTGGGATATTTTAATTTCACTTCATATCTTGTGCATTTTTATGTTTTATATATTATTTACTCATTAGTATATACAAAATTTATCATTTTATGTTTACGCAATTTTTTGATTTTGAGGCTTACGCCTCAAAACTT